CCCTTCAGTCTTCTATCTGACCTCCGTCCTCCCCTTTAGTCTTATACAGTATGTGACCTCCGTCCTCCCCTTCGGTCTTCTTTCTGACCTCCGTCCTCCCCTTCAGTCTTCTATCTGCCCTCCGGCCTCCCCTTCAGTCTTCTATCTGCCCTCCGGCCTCCCCTTCAGTCTTCTATCTGCCCTCCGGCCTCCCCTTCAGTCTTCTATCTGCCCTCCGGCCTCCCCTTCAGTCTTCTATCTGCCCTCCGGCCTCCCCTTCAGTCTTCTATCTGCCCTCCGGCCTCCCCTTCAGTCTTCTATCTGCCCTCCGGCCTCCCCTTCAGTCTTCTATCTGCCCTCCGGCCTCCCCTTCAGTCTTCTATCTGCCCTCCGGCCTCCCCTTCAGTCTTCTATCTGCCCTCCGGCCTCCCCTTCAGTCTTCTATCTGCCCTCCGGCCTCCCCTTCAGTCTTCTATCTGCCCTCCGGCCTCCCCTTCAGTCTTCTATCTGCCCTCCGGCCTCCCCTTCAGTCTTCTATCTGCCCTCCGGCCTCCCCTTCAGTCTTCTATCTGCCCTCCGGCCTCCCCTTCAGTCTTCTATCTGCCCTCCGGCCTCCCCTTCAGTCTTCTATCTGCCCTCCGGCCTCCCCTTCAGTCTTCTATCTGCCCTCCGGCCTCCCCTTCAGTCTTCTATCTGCCCTCCGGCCTCCCCTTCAGTCTTCTATCTGCCCTCCGGCCTCCCCTTCAGTCTTCTATCTGCCCTCCGGCCTCCCCTTCAGTCTTCTATCTGCCCTCCGGCCTCCCCTTCAGTCTTCTATCTGCCCTCCGGCCTCCCCTTCAGTCTTCTATCTGCCCTCCGGCCTCCCCTTCAGTCTTCTATCTGCCCTCCGGCCTCCCCTTCAGTCTTCTATCTGCCCTCCGGCCTCCCCTTCAGTCTTCTATCTGCCCTCCGGCCTCCCCTTCAGTCTTCTATCTGCCCTCCGGCCTCCCCTTCAGTCTTCTATCTGCCCTCCGGCCTCCCCTTCAGTCTTCTATCTGCCCTCCGGCCTCCCCTTCAGTCTTCTATCTGCCCTCCGGCCTCCCCTTCAGTCTTCTATCTGCCCTCCGGCCTCCCCTTCAGTCTTCTATCTGCCCTCCGGCCTCCCCTTCAGTCTTCTATCTGCCCTCCGGCCTCCCCTTCAGTCTTCTATCTGCCCTCCGGCCTCCCCTTCAGTCTTCTATCTGCCCTCCGGCCTCCCCTTCAGTCTTCTATCTGCCCTCCGGCCTCCCCTTCAGTCTTCTATCTGCCCTCCGGCCTCCCCTTCAGTCTTCTATCTGCCCTCCGGCCTCCCCTTCAGTCTTCTATCTGCCCTCCGGCCTCCCCTTCAGTCTTCTATCTGCCCTCCGGCCTCCCCTTCAGTCTTCTATCTGACCTCCGTCCTTCCCTTCAGTCTTATATCTGCCCTCTGACAAGCATCATCTAGCGCTTTTGTCCCCAGCCTGGCTGTCCCTTGCCACGCCCCCTTCATTCATTGGATTTCAGTTCTTTCAATTATAGAGACTCATCATCACATGTGGGCGTTACCTATGTTAGTCCGCATGCAAATACAGCCTGCCTAGGAACGCCCACTCCTCCAGACTGACACCCACCCATTGTGGCATTTTGACATTTGCATAACGCCTCCCAACAGCCGGCCCACTGCTTGCATCAGGGCTGAGAGCTCTTCAGAAGAGTACTGAGGCAGGGTGCTGTGATGTGTTCAGGAAGCTATGTAAAGCACAC